TGCCCCAGTGGCAAAGGCACCATATCATCTGGCACCTGCGAAGATGCAGGAAATGTCAAAACAACTCCAGGAGTTGTTAGACATGGGATTTATAAGACCAAGTTACTCACCATAGGGTGCGCCGGTTCTATTCGTTAAAAAAAAGATGGGTCAATGCGAATGTGCATTGATTATAGGGAACTTAATAAGTTGACCATCAAGAATAGATACCCCCTTCCTCGAATCAATGACCTGTTCGATCAACTCCAAGGTGCAATATACTTTTCCAAGATTGACCTACGGTCTGGATATCACCAAGTAAGAGTGCGGGAAGAGGACATTCCCAAAACAGCCTTCAGAACCCGGTATGGTCACTATGAGTTTATGGTTATGCCATTTGGGCTAACCAATGCACCGGCCGTCTTTATAGATTTAATGAATAGAGTCTGCAGACCCTACTTGGATAAATTCGTAATTGTTTTCATAGATGATATACTGATCTATTCTCCAAATAAGGAGGATCATGAACAACACCTGAGGTTAATATTGGACCTACTCCGGGGCCAGAAATTGTACGCAAAATTTTCCAAGTGTGAATTTTGGATTCGGGAAGTACAATTTCTTGGGCACATAGTTACTGAAAGAGGGATTTAGGTGGATCCTGGCAAGGTCGAGGCCGTTAAGAATTGGAAGGCCCCAAGAACCCCAACAGAGATTCGACAGTTTCTCGGTTTGGCAGGCTATTATCGAAGATTCATTGCAAATTTCTCAAAAATTGCGCAACCACTCACTGCTTTAACCCAGAAGGACAAGAAGTTTGTTTGGAGTGAGAAACAGGAAGAAGCATTTGAGACTCTTAAGCAGAGGCTATGTCACGCAACGATCTTAGCCCTACCTGAGGGTTCGGAAAATTGTGGTCTACTGTGATGCATCACATCAAGGCTTAGGATGCGTGCTAATGCAAAAAGACAAAGTCATTGAGTATGTCTCAAGGCAACTCAAAGTGCATGAAAATAATTACACTACGCATGACCTCGAGTTGGGGGCACTGGTGTTCGCACTTAAAATCTGGAGGCACTATCTTTACGGCACCAAATGCATCGTTTTCACTGATCATAAAAGCCTTCAACATATTCTGAATCAAAAGATGCTGAACATGAGGCAACAGAGGTGGGTCGAACTTCTCAACGATTATGATTGTGAAATAAAGTATCACCCAGGAAAAGCTAACGTGGTAGCCGACGCCTTAAGCCGGAAGGAAATGGTGAAACCGTCAAGGGTACGAGCCATGGGAATGTTGGTTCAAAAGAACCTAAAAAGGCAAATTCTCGAAGCTCAACATGAGGCGTTGAAATCAGAGAATCTGAAGAATGAGACCCTGCATCACTTAGAGAGGGAATTCAAAACCCGAGCGGATGGAGTGCGTTACTTCAAGGATAGAGTTCGGATACCAAGGAGCGACAGCCTCCGGTCTACAATTATGGAGGAAGCCCATCGTTCCAAATATTCGATTCACCCAGGATCCGATAAGATGTACAAAGGGATAAGAGAATATTACTGGTGGCCAGGAATGAAAAGAGACGTTGCCTTATACGTAAGTCGGTGTATGACCTGTGCAAGAGTAAAAGCTGAACATCAGAAACCATCTGGTCTTCTTCAGCAACCAGAGATTCCCCAATGGAAATGGGATCAGATATCAATGGATTTCGTTACAAAGTTACCAAGAACAAGGAAGGGATATGACTCAGTTTGGGTCATAGTGGATCGACTTACGAAATCCGTGCACTTTTTGCCTATTCGAGAAGATTTCAGTACGGAAAGGCTGGCGCAGTTGTATGTCAATGAGATTGTGTCGCGGCATGGAGTACCTATTTCTATCATCTCAGATAGAGACAACCGCTTTACTTCCAGGTTATGGCAATCGGTTCAGAGGGCACTAGGCACGAGATTGGATTTAAGCACTTCATATCATCTTCAAACAGATGGACAAACGGAGATGACAATTCAAACACTAGAGGATATGTTGCGAGCCTGTGTGATAGACTTCAGAGGTAGTTGGGATACCCATCTGCCATTGGTCGAATTTTCCTACAATAATAGCTATCACACCAGTATCCAATGTGCACCTTTTGAAGCCTTGTATGGACGAAAATGTAGATCCCCACTCAGTTGGCAGGAAATTGGCAATAGGCAATTGACCAGGCCTGACATTATCCAGGAGACAACCGACAAAATCGCAATCATCCAAGAAAAACTTAAAGCTGCAAGGGATCGTCAGAAGAGCTATGCCGATAATCGAAGGAAACCCTTGGAATTTCAAGTGGGTGATAAAGTCCTTTTAAAAGTATAACCGTGGAAAGGGGTTGTGCGCTTAGGAAAGAAAGGAAAGCTTAGTCCAAGGTATGTCGGTCCATTCGAAATACTCGAAAGAGTAGGACCAATTGCATACAAGCTCAGCTTACCCCGAAGCTTAGTGCCATCCATGATACATTTCATGTGTCGAATCTTAAGAAGTGTTTAGCCGGCAAGTCTTTAGTTCTACCTTTGGAAGATATTCAAATTAATGAACGACTACGTTTCATTGAGGAGCCGATCGAAATCCTCGACCGCAAGGTTAAGCAGTTGAGGCACAACAAAATCCCAATTGTAAAAGTTCATTGGACTTCGCGGTATGGACCAGAATATACGTGGGAAAGAGAAGATTCCATGAGAAGCAAGTATCCACATTTGTTCCCTAACAAGCATTGATTTGGAGTAGACAAATAAATTTCGGGACGAAATTTCTCTGACATGGGAAAACTGTAACATCCCGTCACTTCTGAGCTTCAGGTTAGCACCCCATTGCAGATCCTATATTTAGAAATTATATTTCTCTAGGATCTAGTCTTAGTGATTAGAACCTTTCTGGTATTAGCTCCCAAATTTTGTTRGGAAGGTCGCGCTTTGGTAGGAGATCAGATAAAGTTATCTTATGCAATGCCAAATATTTTTGAAAATACTCTAGATRAAAATAAAGTTGATGTYATGAGTTTTCCTTAAATTAAATTGCAAAAGTTCCATTTGAATGTCCACTTGTYTTATCAAAAGATGGAGTTTTGGRTTTTATAAARMCATTTTATTTTTGGGTAAAGGTTTTAGTRRGCTTATTCTTTTGRGAAAATAAAGGTTTTATTCGRTTTGGGCCTWGTTGGCCMRCCCATTCACTTTATTTAAATCCTCATATAAATRCCCCTCATCCATGAAGAACTCCCATTTGCATGAATCGCCTGCTTGAAATTTCTCTAAACATTCTCTCTCTCWAAAAACMAAACGCTCTCTAGYTGATTTCACCTTCGTGCAAGTCTTTTGAAATTCYTTCTCAATYTTGAAGATCCTCCAAGACTTCAAGAAAAAGGTATGATACTAATTATCTTACTTTTGTAAAACCTCTTGAGTTTGCATCCTCCTTCTTCTTTTTCGATCTTGTGTTTAATTTTTTGGAATTATAAAGAGGAGAGATTATTCATCCAAGACATGAAAACGTCTTCTAAGAAGATAATAATCTATGATCCATGTGTTTAAAACTCCAAAGTAAGGAGGGAAAAACTCATTGCATGTGAAGTTTTAAACCGCGAAGCTGTGTTTTAAAGTGAAAAATCTTGCATGCATCTTTAATCTACCTTACCTTCTTCGAAAACTYGATGGAGTCGGGAAAGATTCATCCCTGGAAATTTAAATTTATTTTTGCTATTTTGGAAATGGTGATTTCCTTTGGAAAATGATAAGTTCGACCCCAAATAATTGCCGCTTGGTGAACGTGCAATCTGTTTCGGGGGCTGTGTAACTCAAGGATTGTAGTGTAATGACGAGGAATTTAAACTTCTCTAAACCTTCTTGATATTTGGGTTAATCGGCTGACCTCATGATTTTAAATGATGTGACAAGTTGGATAAAAATGACTTTTGGAAGGTTCCTAATTTTTTTAGAGTCTTGTGAACCCCAAAAATACTTGGAACATAATTTATAATYTGTCCAAAAATCATCTTTTGAGTTTAGGATTTCGATTCCTTTTAATATATAATTTTTGAGTTATTTTTTAGAATAAATTATAAACATCAACTTTAATTTTTGAAAACTCGATGGCATTGCATGGGATGCAACTTAACTTTATCATTGTCATGAACCCATAAGTGATTTTAGTTATGGTTGTTGGCCTGTTTAGGAAGATAAGGCGGGCGTTGAAAGCTGCAGACGTCATCATCTTGGATATTCACCTTTAAAC